TTAAAGTTAGTCAAGTAACTGCATGCATGTGCTCAGAATGTCTGTATTCAAATGAGATGGCCATGTACCCTTTGCAGTCAGCAGAGGTAGGCACTTCATGAGGGTGATTCACCTCTTCCTGACATGGACATCTATATAAAGATCATGTGTAATATGTCCTAAATTGCCTTCTAAATCCACAGAAGCTGTATGGCATCCACAGCATCCTGTGGCAAGTATTTTCACAATTAATTGTGAAATAATAATTTCCAGTTCTGGGCTCCTCAGTTGGAGAGACATGGACATACTGGAGAGAGTCTAGTGAAGCGTTACAAAGATGATGAGGTGACTGGAGCATCTCCTCTGTGAGGAAAGGCTGAGAGAGAATCAGAATCACAGAATAGCTTGGGCTGGAAGGGACCTTTTAAGGTCATCTAGTCCAACCTCCCTGCAATAAGCAGGGACATCTTCAACTAGATCAGGTCGCTCAGAGCCCCGTCCAACCTGACCTTGAATGTTGCCAGGAATGGGGCATCTACCACCTCTCTGGGCAACCTGTGCCAGTGTTTCACCACCCTCATGGTAAAAAATTTCTTCCTTAGATCTAGCCTAAATCCACCCTCTTTCAGTTTAAAACAGTTACCCCTTGTCTTATCAGTACAGGCCCTGCTAAAAAGTCTGTCCCCAGCTTTCTTACAAACCCCCTTGAAGTACTGGAAGGCTGCAAGAAGGTCTCCCCGGAGCCTTCTCTTGTGCAGGCTGAACAACCCCAACTCTCTCAGCCTGTCCTCACAGGAGAGGTGTTCCGTCCCTCTGATCATTTCTGTGTCCCTCCTCTGGACCCTATTCAAGAGGTCTGTGTCTTTCCTGTGCTGAGGGCTCCAGAGCTGGACACAGGGCTCCAGGTGGGGTCTCACCAGAGCAGAGTAGAGGAGTGGAATCACCTCCCTTGAGCTGCTGACCGTGCTTCTTTTGATGCAGCACAGGATACAGTTGGCCTTTTGGGCTGCAGACGCACATTGCTGGCTCATGTCCAGCTTTTCATTCAGCAGTACCCCTAAGTCCTTCTGAGCAGGGCTGTTCTCAATCCCTTCATCCCCCAGCCTGTACTGATACTGGAGGTTGCCCCAACCCAGGTGCAGGACCTTGCAGTCAGTTCACATGGGCTCACATCTTGAGCTTGTCCATTGTTCTGCAATACCTCATAACTGGGATTTCTGGTATCTGATGAGGCACTTTGTGATCACTGTTTCAGCACATGAACTCTAGTGTTTCAAATAGTAAGCAAAGGGCATATCACTCATCTTTTGGAAACATTCTAGACCGTTAAACTGAAGGGATTTGCCCAGTCTCCCAGCAAAAAGGTCTATTAAATTATCTCTGTATCTGCTTGTGGCCTACTATGAAGAGAAGGATGAGAGAAGGATGTTGTCCCTGGACCTGAGCTGGGACTGTTAAGCCCGGAGCAGAGAAGGCTCGGGAGGATCTTATCACTGTATATAAATACCTGTAGGGAGCGTACAAAGAGGACGAAGGACAGGCTCTTTTCAGTGGTGCCTAGTGACAGGACCAGAGGCCATGGGCACAAACTGAAACACAGGAGGTTTGCCCCTGAACATCAGGAAACACTTTTCCACTGTGAGAGTGACTCAGCACTAGCACAAGTTGCCCAGAGAGGTTGTGGAGTATTTATCCTTGGAGGTGATCAAAAGCTGTCTGGATGTGGTCCTGGGTAATTGGCTTTAGGTGGCCCTGCTTGAGCAGAGGTTTTGGACAAGACGACCTCCAGAGGTCCCTTCCAACCTCAGACATTCTGTGGTTTTGTGATTTCTTTTCCTATCCTTATATTATGAAAGACAGCAATCATTCACTTTCCCTGTTCCACTAATAATTCTGTAGACCTCTATGATAACTTTTTTCAGTTGCTTTTGAATGGAGATCAGGTGGAGCAGAACTGAATGTAGTACTGAAGATAAAAGGTGCCATGGATGTGTATTGTGGCAGGTAGTGTATATAAATATACAGTGTATGTAGACAGCTCCTGCTTTTCTTTTCTATTCCTTTGCTAACAATTCTGAACACTTGGCTGATGTTTTCATAGAGCAGACTAACAAAACTTTAAGATCTTTTTTTCTTCTGGATGGTAGTTGTTGGTTTTAGCATCTGTTACTGTGCAGATAACTACATGCATAGCTTTATCTCTAGCAACACTGAATTTTATCTGTCTATTAGCTTGTCAATAACTGTCATGAGATCCTTCTGTACCTCTTTATAGTTGACCTTTGTTAAATTGCTGTGAAGAACAGTTCATGTTCATCATCAGCAAGTGTCATGGTTTCACATTTTCCTCTTAGGTTGAAGAGCTTGAACCCCAGTATAGATTTTCTTTGTAGGATCATTCCGGTGACCTTTTTTCACTGCAAAACTTAACTGCTCCGTGTTTTGTTTCCTATTTTAAACTGATTATTGTCTGTGAGAGGGCTTTACATTTATCTAATGGCAGATCTGGTTCTTTTTAGAGCCTTAGTGGAGACACCTTGTCAAAAACAATCAGAAATGCAAAAGTTACCTTTGCTGGCTTATTGCTTATAGAACGCTAAAAGATACTGCCTGGGGATCTAATTTTCTTTACTCCGTGATTTTTAAATCCAGAATTATTTGTTGAATTTATGCTCTTTTGCAGTCCCTGCAGAATGCTACAGCTTCCTTTCCTCTTCAGTGTTCTTGGCTTGTGGAGTCACAAACCTCGGTGAACTTCAGGTGAGATGTTCATGTTCATTGGTAAAATCCTTGCTTTTTTTTTATCCTGGAAAGCTGTGTTAACGTTTCTGCTGTTGGCTACAGATTTTATTCTAACAAATATGTTAAGTACATCTAGTAAAGGAAAGGTTTATAAAGACGAAAGAAAGAAGAGTTTTGGCTACTATATATGCTTTAGCCTGTAATTAACATTGAATTTTTCTCTAGAAACATTACTGTAAAATAAAAACAAAAGGGAGAGAATGGAGAGAAAAGGAAAATCTAGAATAAAGATAATAGAATTTGTAATTTTTGCCAAATGTCAATATGCATAGCTTAGTTATACTGTTGCTCTGTTTAACAATCTTTGAAATATTTAGGATAAAGTAGAAAATTATGACATTCCCTTCCATTCAAGCAGAAAAACCTCTAGACAGTGGAATTTGTATGATTCAAGGAAATTAGGATGTTTATAATAATATCCCCTCATGATACCATTGAAAATTAAAGGGGACAGAAGTTAATGATTTGTCTTAGAAAAAATGCTGAAGGCTATTTGGCCCTGGAAATAATCTAGTGATACTGAGCTTGCAGATAGGAAGGGAGTAGCTTTTCTGTGGAATGAGAGGAGCAGGTCATAGTGCTGATGTTCCTTCATGAATCCTTGGCAGCAGCCTGAGCAGGCTTGCATTCAGATCACTAGAAGTCCAAACTGGGGACATACTGTAAGACTACAAAGTCTAACCTTTATTGGTGAAGTGTTATCCAGGGAAGAGTAAACTTTTGGTCCTCCGCAAATCATGTAGTCCTTGTGTAAATTCGTAAAAGCATTCCTTCCTCCCTTCACTTTTGCTGGATGTTGATACCAAACAGAACCTGCATAAATACTGTGGGCAGGATTTGAGTTGCCAACATAAGCTTCTCGAGTTAGTAGCACAAGCTTGTCACCGTGTGCAGAGGTGGAGGAGATGGATTACCCTCTGAAAATGCCTATATCTCTCTTCTGACTAAAAACATGAAAACAGCCTAAAGTGACTATTACAGTCATCCAGAATGAATGAGGTGAATCCCACTTTATGTTTCTGTCTATAGTGATCTGTTTTTTGAAAGGTCATAGATTCCCTCTGGTTGCCAGCTTGATCAGATGCCAGAGTACTCTTGGGAGTGTTTAATAGTCCAAAATAGAGGGGAGGCGTTCTAGCACTGAAAAGCACAACTCCTTTGTGTTTTTGTCTGCAAGAACAGTACACATAATAATACAATAGATGTAATAATAGTACAACACGACAGTATATGTAAACTATAAAAGGAAATGTTGCATTATATCAGCATAACAATGAGGGAGGGAGTTCAGAACGTCCAAGGATTAGATTTACAGGGGAAAAGAGGGCGCACACGGTTAAATTATGTGGGATACTGAGATGAATTAACAAAGACATGTCTAGACCAGTGAAAATGGGAAGAGGGAACTGTCCTAGTGACTGAAGAAGAGTGAGTTTCCCACACCTTGGTATGAGTCAGTCACTAAATGAAACAAATTGAGAAATACTTTTAATCCTGTGGACAAGTTATTAAATAATTAGTAACAGGTTAGGATGTTTTACGTTTTTTTCCTGAGGCATCTGCTGCTGTGGACTGACATGGAACCAAGGATTCTGTATTACGTAGGATAGCTCAGATAGGTAGGCTTTTCAGTGCTTACCAAACAGGCAGATAGGTGATACTGATACCATTTAAGCTACTTGGAAATGTTATTAAAGTTTCCAGCTGTAGGCTGTTTCAAAACAAAATTATGAAGTTAGTTTAAAAATGATGAGATTTAAATAAAGGTGCTGATTTGATTTATTCACTCTTCATCAGTAAAATTTGTTTTCAAACACAAAAGTTTTCTAGTCCTGATTATAGTAGAAAAAAGCTTGGTGAGTGAGAGTATTGTACAGTACTGGCAAGACTACAGGAGCAGGGTCTATAAGAAAAAGACCAAATATTACAAGACTCCTGTGACTGGTGCTTAAGTAAATTGTGTTGACAAAGTGTAAATATGTGTTAAGGATCCTGTTGTAATTAAGGAAAGCAGAGCAATCATTTGGTTCCCATTGGTTTCAGAGAGTCTTATTTTTGTTTCTTTAAATTTCTTTTTCAGATGGAAATACTGACTTTAAGAACTTTGATGCTTTCAGACATTGAATTTTGATTCGTTAAATGAACAGGAATATGGTACTGCTGGAACAAGATGAAATGCCTTGAAGACCTTTGGTTCTGCTTTCATTTCTCCTGAAGCAATGGTTTTCTCAGCAATGTTGACGCTGGCCCACTCTGGGACCTCAAATGCTACTTTTATTGTTTATGAAAACGCCTATATGAATTTTACCACTCCCCAATTCTTGCTTCGTAGTGGCACAACACAGCCATTGAGATACAGTTCAGGTGCCGCGCTCACCACTGAGAAAAGTACTTTTCTGGTAAACACTACAGCTATCCTGCCATCGCAAGAAGTTTTCAGGAGCTTGAGTTTGCCACTCCAGATCATTCTTTCTGCTGCTATGATATTTATTCTATTGGTTTCTTTCCTTGGAAACTTTGTTGTCTGCCTCATGGTCTACCAGAAGGCAGCCATGCGATCTGCAATTAACATTCTCTTAGCAAGCCTGGCTTTTGCAGACATGCTGCTGGCAGTGCTGAACATGCCTTTTGCTCTGATAACAATCATTACCACTCAGTGGATTTTTGGGGATATATTCTGCAGAGTCTCTGCCATGTTCTTCTGGCTTTTTGTCATAGAGGGGGTAGCCATTCTTCTTATAATTAGTATTGACAGATTTCTTATCATAGTTCAGAGGCAAGATAAACTGAACCCTTACCGTGCAAAGATTCTCATTGTGATTTCTTGGGTGGCATCCTTTGTTGTTGCTTTTCCGTTATCAGTAGGGAATCCTAATCTGCAGATACCCTCCAGAGCACCTCAGTGTGTTTTTGGCTACTCTACAAGCCCAGGTTACCGAGCCTACGTGATAGTTATCTTGCTAATTTCTTTTTTTATTCCATTCCTGGTAATGCTGTATTCTTTTATGGGCATACTCAACACCGTCCGCCACAATGCAGTTCGCATCCACAGCCACCCTGACAGCATATGCCTCAGCCAGGCCAGCAAACTTGGTCTCATGAGCTTACAGAGACCTTTTCAGATGAATATTGATATGAGCTTTAAAACTCGTGCCTTCACAACCATCTTGATTTTGTTCCTTGTCTTCATAGTCTGTTGGGCGCCCTTCACCACTTACAGCCTTATTGCCACATTCAACAGCCACTTCTACTACAAGCACAACTTTTTTGAGATAAGCACTTGGCTCCTTTGGCTCTGCTACCTCAAGTCTGCACTGAATCCACTGATTTACTACTGGAGGATTAAGAAGTTTCATGATGCATGCTTGGACTTGATGCCCAAATACTTCAAGTTTTTGCCACAGCTACCTGGCCATACAAGGCGGCGCATTCGACCCAGTGCCATCTATGTGTGTGGGGAGCATCGGTCGGTAGTGTGAAGCTGCAGTTGTTTGACAATGATTGTTATTTTCTGGGATTATTTGTTCCTAGGCTTTAAGTTGAATTTTGTTTTGTTTAATATGGCTTCTTCAGTGTGGCCATATCTTGTAACTTGATTAAATTTTCCAGTACTCTGTGCAATTTTGGGAGGAAAGATGGAGGGGAGGTGATTGGTTATAGTTGGGTTTACTAACAGAATACAATGTTAACAAAATAACAAATGTTACCTCTAGGATTCCGTGGAAATCCATTCTTTTAAATGAAAACTACATTTGTAACATTTTGTCAGGTTTATGCTTCTAGGCCTGCAATTGCATCTAATTGTAGGGACTTTTTATGCTGCTAAGATACAGTATATTTAGTTGGTGTAATTCTTCTGAAAAATGTTGCTGCTGTCTGCCAATGTATTAGAGCCAAAAAGTCTCATTAGATGGCTTCTATTTAATTTTAACAATATTTCAGAAGTTTTCATGGTGACACTAGAAGACTTTTTCTTTTTTTTTTTAATATTTCCATTAATGTTTTTGTGCACTTTACAAAAATTACTATAGAATTTGTTCATTGGAATATTTTGTTCTTATTGAAGGGGTATTATTATTATTATTATTTGTTATATTGGTGAATTTCAATGAAAGACCCAGGTAAGCTCTAGGAGGGCAATTTATGTTGGTATAGCTACACGTACAGTCATATATTTGCTCTTGTTCTAACAATTGATCAAAAGTAACATTAACTACTCATTTATCAGGGGAGTTGGAATGATAAACGGAGGAATGAAAGGAAAAGAAAGCAATGAAAATACCGTGTCCCGAGGTTTAGGCTAACACAAGATATAGAAACCCAGAGTTCATATGAAAATTGTCACGGAGGAAAGGGTGGCTGTAGTTGTTACTTTAGGTTGTTAGATGTTATCCAAACCTGATGGTATGCCTGAAAACCTGTCTGAAATTGTGACCTTGGGCCTAGGATTTACACTGTGTTGGTATAATGCTGTTTCTGCTTGGAGCTCGTATAAGGCTAGGTGTGTTCTGCACTGCTGAAATCACGCTGTCAGGTGTTTGTTGGGATAGAATTAGGAATAGTAGGGTAAACTCAGGAAACAAATCGCACAGGAATGATAGTTGAGGCTAGGACTTAGTCTGCATAGTAACGACTGGGGAAATAAGTCCTCAACTTGCTTGTTTTCCAGATCGGGTATTAGACTGAAACCATAAACTAATAATAATGAATAACAGTTGTCCAGCAGAGTTTGCTGGGTAAGTTAAATTCCCATTTTCCCTCTGATACTACTTTACATAGATTTTTTTTTTTTTTCATTGCCCCTTTTCCTCTGTAGTGCCTGCTGCCTCAAGGGTTTACTCTGCTCTTCTCATCTAGTAGGCATCAGCTCCTCTCCCTGAAATGCCAGACCACCTTTCTGATTAATGTCAGGCTGTCTCGGTACCTGCCTGGAAAGCAAAGAGGCAAAGGTTTTCCTTGATGATAGCAATCCAGACTCAGATTAATCAGTTTAAATATTTAATGTCAGGTAAGTAAAATTAAAACTTAGGTTTGGCTTTGAAGTGAGATTCCCAGTTGCACTGAGGCTGGGGAGGAATGCCTGCAGAATTAGTGCATCCTTGCAGTGGGTTTTTTTGGGGCTGTCTGTGACCAAGTACATTAATGTACAACAAACTTACGAACCAGGACTAGGGTTTGGGCATCTCTTGCTTCCACCTCTCTTTCAGTACCCCAAAGCATGGGGACCTCTTCATTGTTCTTGTACCTGAGGAGCAAACAATAGCAATTTTATCTATTTCTGCATAAATATTGAACTGAGTGTATGAAGGAAATGCACTGTACTTTGTGCAATCTCCAGAGACTGCCTTCTTCCTGAGGCCAACTAAAAATTTACATCCCAGACTTTATTTAGTTCTTCAGTGAAGAACTAATTGAAGTTAATCTCTGTTCCTCTCATTGACAGCTATCAGTAAAAGCCTTGGCAATATTTAAATTTTAGGAACATGAACAATTTTGGACTTGGTAATTTCTTTTTTTTTTTAAAGAAGCTGCAAGATGAGGCTGTGGGTTACAGGTAAAGGCACCCAGGCAGTTGCGGTTGTTGATGTCTGTGGTTGCCATTCCATGGTCAACTTCACTGATGATGGTATGGATTTTTCTGATCAAAATGACAGGCAGTAAAGGAGTTCCGCTGTGGAACAGTGCTTTAGTGTGTCTTTGCAGTATAGCTTTTATTTCTCAATTACATTTACATTGATAGTGGAAGTTTATGAGCTGGTTAGTATGGATTTTCTGTTTCAGAGCTGTCATGACTGTTTATCTCTGAAAGCAGCAAAACTGTGCTTAGAGCTAATGTAATAGAGCATGCACTGTCTAAGATGGCAGGAACAGGTATTTTTGTTGTCTTCCAGAGCTATAATGCAAGAGGTTCGAATGAATATCATAAAACATAGTAATTCAAGATGAAAAGAAGATGAGTAATACAGGAAAGTTAGTGAAATTACTTTCTTGAAGGGGGAAGGGAAAACATTTTGTGGGGATTTCAAAATCTTCGATAAGTACTGGCTGTGAAGTAGAAACTGCAAACGTGAAATAAAGTGAATTTGTCTTGATAATTTAGTGTTTGTTTACTCTGACTGTAACAGGGTTTCTGCTCAGAGCTGGGTCTTCTAATACTTGGAGAAGAGAAACACAAATTGTATGGCCCAAATTCAGAAGTAACTTACATGGTGATAAGAGTATTCACATCAGGTTTTAGAGGTGATCGGAGCATACAGTGAACAAAAGGATGTTCAAAAAAAGAAACAAGGTGGCATAGAAATATCCCCAGGGTAATTATGTGTTTACAGAACCATTTGGCCTATTGTGTCTAATATACTGTCTTTAGAGCAGTGCCTTGATAATTACAGCTGAAGTCCTAGGACCAAGTTGAAGACCACTGAACTGCTCAGTCTTTCTGTCTGTGATCCTGCCAAGATCAGCATAACCTTGCTAACGTTTGTAATGTTAAAACGCATACATGTTGACAGGGTTGGGGCTACTGAGGCATTTTAGTGGGCTTGACCTTGACCAAGACTAAGGATTTTAAAACCTTCATTCTACTGGGGAATTATAATCTTCCTCTGCAGAAATGATACTTGTTACTAAACTGTATTCCCTCATGTTACATTTTCAGAAAACTTTGGTATGGAGGATTGAAATGAATGTATTTTGAATTATGTTGCAGTTTAATACATTCTGTCAAAGCATGCTGCTTACACAAGGCTCATTTGTACAAATTATTGCTAAAATGATTCTTTTGTGCTCAGAGTGGTGTATTTTTGACATTTCTTGTTACTCATGTAAAAATATTTATGTATATAGAGAAGAAATTTGTTTTGCATCGTACTGCTTTCTGTTACTTTTTTTTTTTCACTTGTGTGCTTAATGCTTTCATGTTTTCTTTTATTTGGGCATATGCATAAACACCTGCAAGATTTCAGTTGTCTTTCTACAACCATTTGAGATTTTTAATTTTTCAAATAATTCAACAGTGCCCTTCATGAAAGAGATTTTGATTTATTTTTATGTGAAAAATAAAAATTCAGAGCACAAGTTTGTTGCGGTTGGACTGTGAGGAATTTCTTAAGTCCAGTTTTCCAGGAGCCACTACTTTGCCATTATGAACTGGTTTGATCTTTTTTTTTTTTGAAGAGTAGTTATTTTCTGATGTTGCGAAACAAGCTGTCAAGTAGAATTGCATTGTCTTTTCTGTACATATTAGACATGTGAAAATACCTGAGAGAAAAAAAAATAAAAAATAAACATGAACTTTCTCCAAAAAATGTGGTGAAAGTCTACAGGATTGCTCTGTCTTTGTGCATTCACAAGTTTCTTGGATTTAATGCCCACCTTCATAGTTTCAAACACTTTGTTTTAGCTGTATATTAAATAACAAAAAGATTGTTTACCTGATTTACATGGTTTTGTTTAAGCCAAAATGTTTCTTGTTTAAAGAATTTGCAGAATGCTCTCTTCTGAGACATTGGGGTAGAGATATGTCAATGTATTTAAAACAAATAATATCCAGCAAAAGAGAGAGAAAGCCTAAAAAGAAAATAATTTTCCTCAAAGTACTACCTGAACTGGGTGTACTACCTTTTAGCTAGGACTGAGTAATTAAGATAATCTTATTGTTCAATAAATAAAAGAGGCAGTGGTACTGCATGGTGTGATTCATTTCAACACAAGACAGTGACCTTTATGATTCAAGTGCTGCATGTTTGTATGTGATGGATTATTCCCCGTATTAATAGAGTGAAAAATGTTCAGCATCTTGGCTGTTTTCTGGAAATTTTTCAGCGTGCTAATGATTTAGCAGAAATTCTGCTGGAGTAATTTCTCCAAATGAAAAAGAGTCAAGGCATGTCCCTAAAGATGCCTGAAAGGGGATGAGTATTTCCAGTTGCTTGGGAATGGCCTTGCTGCTCAGCTGCCCACACGTCTAATTTTGAGACTCCTTCCCCATACCTCTGCAACAACTACTTCGTCCTCCATTCTCCTCTCCTGGTCCCCTCCATCTCCCCAAAGTAGCGCCTTCTGTGCTGCTGTGTTGTGGCAGGTACAGTGGTGGCAGGAGACACTGGTGCTGATGGCAAGAGGAGGTGGAGGTGCCTGGAGAAGCTGTGGAGCTAGCAAGCACCAGGTGCCCCTCCCTCCCATCTTGAGTACGGTTCGGACCATCTGTGATGGGCTGAGGGTGAGTTTTACTACCTTTAGCTGTAAGGGAAGAGCTGTTACAGGAGAATGTATATTTGCCTCTAGTGCTAGTGCAGGATTCTTGCTTTATCCCTAGTAGTGTTACAGGTTTTATTCCGCCTTGTCTTTTGGCAACTGAGCTACAAGGGTCTATAGCCAATTCATGGCTGAGTAAGAATCCCTTAGCTGACTTGTGTCTCTGAGCACGCTGGGCACAAGACCTGCTGGTGAGCATCCACCAGAACAAAAGTTCCTACAGCTT